TTACTGTTATGGAGGAGTACAAGGTCAAGGGGGCACATCTGGTGACAGCCTTCTTGAAGGCAGGGACTCTAAGGAGACCTGAGGCGGCACATGGCATCACAAGGCAAGGGTGGTGGGTGTGCCAGCTCAGGTCCCTCTCCCTCTTATAAAGCCGCCAGTCCTGCTTTCATAATATCCATTAATCTATGAATCCACACGTGGATTAATTCATCATGAGGGCAGAGCCCTCAGGATCCAATAACCTCTTAAAGGCCCCATCTTTCCATACTGCTACACTGGGCATTAAGTTTCTAACGCCAGAAATTTGGAGGACACGGTCAAACCATAGCAGGTGCAGACCCTTGTAAGAACACGGGCTCCTCCATCGGGGTTCTGGTGGTCAGTGACAGCTGGGTTAGGACTAGAGTGAAACAAGTGAGGCACAAACTTAAGGGGGCACCAAAAACCTCAATAATCGACAAAGATCTTAATGGGATGGTTTAAAAAATCAAATTGGCAAACTATGGCCCACAGGCTGTCTGATTTATAAATAAAGGTTTATTGGAAGCAGGGCCAGGAATACGGTTGACTCACTTGAATCAGAGATTATGCCCTGCTTGCCTTCCCTAACGCAGGTGTTCCTACCCCTAAGGCAGCACGAGGTGTGGGCTTGGTCAGCTCAGCCCGTCCAACAATAAGAACGCCGCTTGTTTGGAGCACTTACTAAGTCAGCTTTAAAGCACCTCTGCTCTGGAACTACCTCTCTTGGCCCCATGGACTGGGCCCGGAAGCACTTTTAAATGGCCGGGCGCGGTGGCTCAAGCCTGTAATCCCAGCACTTTGGGAGGCCGAGGCGGGTGGATCACAAGGTCGAGAGATCGAGACCAACCTGGTCAACATGGTGAAACCCCGTCTCTACTAAAAATACAAAAAATTAGCTGGGCATGGTGGCGCGTGCCTATAATCCCAGCTACCCAGGAGGCTGAGGCAGGAGAATTGCCTGAACCCAGGAGGCGGAGGTTGTGGTGAGCCGAGATCGCGCCATTGCACTCCAGCCTGGGTAACAAGAGCGAAACTCCGTCTCAAAAAAAAAAAAAAAAAAAAAAAAAAAAAATCTTCCAGGAATGTGGGCCTGTGTCAAGTGTTGGTCACATCTCAGTGTCATATCACATTTCCCTGGCTCTGCCATTCACTGAGTGGCCTGGGGCAAGACTTAATTTCTCCGTGTCTCATTCGCATCTTCTGTAAAATGGGTGAATACATGCAAAAAACGGAGTCACTCTATCATAAAGTCAGCTGCTGTTAAAAGCATGGGTCTGAATCCCAGCTCTGTCACTAATACTCTAGGACAGGTTATTTCCCATGGCCGAGGGTTTCCTCCACTGTAAAATGGAGATTATAATCCTCATCTGGCTGGGTTCAGGTAGGGATTCACACAAAACTGATGTGTTGGCTCAGCTCTGCAAAGCACCTGCAGCTCCCCCGTGGATGTCAAGGGATCTCAAAGTGCAGAGGGCTCCTTAGCCATTTGCAAGATTGAATTAGGGAAGAAATCCACTGTTCACATAGGAATGTTTGTTAACCCTTTATTTCCCACTGTGGGCTAAGTGCACAGACGGACAATTCTCCTGGGGGCATTTGTGAAGTTTCTCCAGTCTCCAATATCTACTGCTTGCCCCCTCGATACTTGCAAAGATCATTACTGTTTTCTGACAGCTGCGGCTACCCCCAGCGCCACTGGCCACTGATACAGGAGGCAGAAAGATATTATTTAGGCAGATATTGAGGGCAAAAGAATCCTCGGCAGAATTTCCCTTCCAACAAAAAGCAGCCCCAGAAATCATTTATTTTCTAACAAAGAGCAGCCTGAAAAATCCAGCTGCAAACATAAAGAAGCTGGACGCTTGCACAGGGGAATGCTGGTAGCTGTGCCAACAGAAAAGGGCTACTTGGGAGCCAGGCATGTCCACCAGGGAGGCTCCGTCTTCCCTTTTTTCACCAAGTGTACAGTAATAAAGAAGTGGGCAACATGGCACAGCTAGGGCAAAGAACTCGAATGCATGAAAGACTGGGGTGGGGGCACTGAGATTCATACTCTACGCAAATGGCACACCTGGTCCAACCAGTTTTTCATGCCGTCTGTAGATCAGACACCACCTCCTCACCAGCTCATCTATAAAGCCCCCTGCATTTCACTGCAGATCCAGCAACCCATTTTTCCAGGACCCCTTTTGTAGTGGAGAGCTATTCTTTCACCTATTAAACTTCTGTTCTTAACCTCACTGTGGGTCCACATCCTTGACCTTTGTAACCATGAGACAAGGAACCTCCGGTGTTACCCCAGACAAGGCTGCTCCTCCATCACTCTTCCTGCCTCGGTGGCTGCCGGGTCCTGTGCCAAGCAGTTGGCGCATGCTCGCCATGGCTTCTACCCTGGCTAATGTTTTCACTGGTCCAGTTGGTTTTAGTTGCCTTCTCACGTCCAGTTTTCCTGCTTCCACTCTTGCCCTCTAGGTTTTCTGCCAGCCACCAATGCAAGCTCGTCACAGGGCCCTTCGGGATCTGGCTCTGCCTCTCCCATCTCAGGTTCTGCTCCTCCTTGCTCGCTGATGCCGGCCACAACGGCCTTGCTGTTGGGGATGTTCCTTCTTCACCAACTTTATACGCCACAGCCTGCCTGGGATATGCTCCCTTCATCTCCTGTGTCTCTGGTTTCCCTTCACATCTTCACTCATCACTGTCTGAAACTGTCTGTTCCCCAGGAAAGCAAGCTTCATGTTCCCCTCTCTTACAGTCAGTGCCTGGCACATAGTGAGTACTTATTCATCCATTCTCACGCTGCTAATAAAGTCATACCCGAAGCTGGGTAATTTAAAAAGGAGAAATTTAATTACAGTTCAGCATGGCTGGAGATGCTCAGGAAACTTAGAATCATGGCCAAAGGGGAGCCAAAAACTCCTTTTTTCATATGGCGGCAGGAAGAAGTACTGAACAAGAGAAAAGCCCCTTATAAAACCAGCAGCCTCTGTGAGAACTCACTATCGTGAGAACTCACCATCGTGAGAACTCACTATCAAGAGAACAGCCCCCAGGATCAAATTACCTCCCACTGGGTCCCTCTGGGGATTACAAAAACAATTTGAGATTGGGTGGGGACACAGCCAAACCGTATCAGGTAGGGATTTGTTGACTTAATGCACAAAAGCACAAAGCAGGTACTAGCCTTATAGTACATGTGAGGAAACTGAGGAATGAGCCATCTCAGTCATGTTGGAAATTTTTTTTTTTTTTTTTTTTTTTGAGACAGAGTTTCGCGCTTGTTACCCAGCCTGGAGTGCAATGGTGCGATCTCGGCTCACTGCAACCTCTGCCTCCTGGGTTCAAGCAATTCTCCTGCCTCAGCCTCCCGAGTAGCTGGGACTACAGGCACGCACCACCATGTCCAGCTAATTTCTGTATTTTTAGTAGAGACGGGGTTTCACCTTGTTGACCAGGATGGTCTCGATCTCTTGACCTCGTGATCCACCCGCCTCGGCCTCCCAAAGTGCTGGGATTACAGGCATGAGCCACCACGCCCGGCCCCATGTTGGGAATATTAATTGAAAAACTTGTCAGCTCCTGTGGTCCTTGGAGTTCCTAAAAAATAATGTTATATGCCAATACTTATTACAGTACTATAAAGAGGCACCATATCCCATATCTCATTTGTCAGTGGAAAGAATACAGATTTGGAGCCAGGTAAAAGTGCCCTTGCTACCTGTGATGTCTTGGACAAGTTCCCACCCTTTGGGATCTGTTTCTCCATCTATAAAATGGGGACAATGCCTAACTTAAGAGTTATTTTAGATCCAGTGTAAAAATTCCTAGCCCAGTGCCTGACATGCAGTAAGCAGACAATATTAGTTTTCCTCTCTACTAGACACAACTACCCAGGAAGGGAAGTCTTCCCTCATTCCTAGACATCCACTCCGTGTTGGGCACTTGGGGCGTGCTGACTGTGATGAATGAAACAGACATGGTACTGGTACTACTATTACAGAATGTTTGCTTCACGTGAACAGGCACTGACTGTATCATCTCTGAACACAACGGAATGAAGCTAGGAATGAGTAACAAAAGAAAAACCGGAACATTCATCAGTGTATGGAAATACAGATTTCTAAACAATCAAGGGGTCCAAGAAGAAATCCCAAGAGAAATTAGAAAATACATTGAGATGAATGAAAGCAAAAGCACCAAATACCAAAACTGACAGCGTGTGATGGAAGCGGTGTGCAGAGGGAAACACACGCTGTAAATGTCCGTGTTAAGAAACAGGACGGTAACTGTGTGAGGTGATGGGTGTTAATTAGCTCAGCTGTAGCAATCATTTCAGAATGTATATGAAAACATCATACTGTATACTTTATTTTTTATAAGAATAAATTTTCTTACAAAAGAACAGGCACCGTGTCTGCCTGGCTCACCACTGTACCCCGTCCCCAACATGGTGCCGAGGAACAAAATATGTTTGTTGAATGGAGTTTACAAAGAAGAAAAGTATTTTATACATCCCTTCCCTCCCCACCCACACACGGCTTCTTCTGCTGGGCAAGTTTAAAAGCTAGCTCCTAGGACTTCTAAATCCACACTCGGTTTACCTGTGCCTCAAACCAGACTTCAGCAAACTTCAGTCTTCACAAGTCACTTGACCATTTTGGCTCTACCGACTCACTGCCTGTGACAGAAATCAACTCAGTTTGCTTACCTGTATAAACTTACAAGGAACTTGGTATCAACCACTTGTCTTACTTAGAAGGTAACCACAAAAATACAGAGCAATAAAAATAAAAACAATGTTAACATGAATCTCAGTTGCCTGAAAGTTGTAACTCTGCTTTTTTAAGAGAGAAATTGGAGTTAAGCAGAGTTTTCATTTTTTGATTATGACCCTGAAAGAGAAATGTATTTGACATCAAAACTCAGTACATATCCTTGTCTCTATATACATGAGAAAGTTTCATAAAACAATATGCTGATAGTCTATTCTGAAATTCTACTTCATTGTAAAAAATTCTAGTTGTACACCCATTAAACTGGTTTCAAGACAAATATATCACGTGCAACAAAAAAACACTAGGCTATGGGGCTGATAAAGACCTATCAGCAACTGAGACTTCATCCTCATCTCACAGGGACTCAAAAGAGAAGAAAGTTCTCACGTGGTTCAGTGCTCCACCCATGTACCTGAGATGTACAAGTCACAACCTGGGAGAAAGCCTGTCCTAGATTTACTTTAAATACCCAATTCCGCCTAGAACGTGTCTTAGATACATAGAAAGCTCCAGTAGTGCCGATGATAATGACACACCAGGCACGATCACACACCACTTACAAATATCTTAACACCGTTACTTAGATCTACTCTTACTTGCAGCATTTCTTCAAATATACTTTGAAAAAAACAGCTTCACTGTGTGTGGTGGTCAGACACATTCTTCTACCCAACCATGGACCTCTTTCTTCCTCTCAGGCGTACTTCATCTAATTTTTTTAGCACTGGCCTGGCCTTTTTGGAGGAGGTGGAGTAGCTCTTCAGAAAGGTTTCAAACACAGTTTCAGTGTTGGGATGGGTACTGAGGAAGGCCTTCTCCAGGACATAGAGGTCTACTCCCTTATCCTCTGGAAGTGCTGAAATGAAACTCAGTCCAAAGTCTATCAGCACGATGTTCAGCTGTTCCAGCGGGGGTTTCAGGAGCATGTTGGAGGTGGTGAGATCACCATGAATGAGGTCTTCGTCGTGCATTCGAGCCAAAACCTGCCCAATTTCCTTGGCTAAGTTGGAGAGACTCTGGGGAGTTTTTTCAGCCTCCATAGTGGACTGAATATAATCGCGAACAGTCACCGAGCCTTCAATTTCTTCCATATATAGGCAGTTGGAAGCATAGTCCGCAAAAAAGACAACTGGGGCAGATATTCCTGAAATCAAGACATAAGTGGTTATTGGGTTGAATTTTCTTTTTTAATGGTAAACTTAATTTTCAAAGATTAAGCCAGTTTTTCCAACTATATCTACTTATTTCAGGATGATTTAGGAATGCTGCAGGAAATGGTACAACTTAACTCATCTGGAATATGCCCCTGCTCATGCCCACTGCAGGACTATGCCTGGGACCACCCCACAGCTAAGTTGAGGAGGCAAAAGCTTCCTCCTCCCTTCCAAACCACCCTTTCTCACTGAACTTCATTTATCACACTCTCTCCCTGAAAAAAACAAAACAAAGGCCAGATGCAGTGGCTCGTGCCTGTAATCCCAGCACTTTGGGAGGCTGAGGCAGGTGGATCACTTGAGGTCAGAAGTAGTTCGAGACCAGCCTGGCCAACATAGTAAAACCCCATCTCTACTAAAAACACAAAAATACAAGTAGCTCGTAGTACCAGCTACTTGGGAGGCCGAGGCAGGAGAATAGCTTGAACCCAGGGGGTAGAAGTTGCAGTGAGCTGAGATCACACCACTGTACCACTCCAGCCTTGGTGACAGAGCGAGACACTGTCTCAAAAACCAAAAACAAAAACCAAAGAGCAAGGCACAGCCCAGTCAGGGCAGGTTCTACTAACGAGGTCACAAACAGAAGGCCAGCAGTGGGCTGACTTCGAGGTTCATCTTCAGAGAGGACAGGGTTCAAATCCCGTCTCCTTTTCTTATTAGTTGTCTAATCTTAAAGTTACATTAACTTCTCTAAGCTTCAGTTTCTGCTGCTATTACATAGGAACAAAAGCTCCAATAAACTCAATGAATCTTTACCGAAAGTCAACCCGGCTCAGTATACTTTTCTAGAAACTTAGAGATAAATCAATGGGGTATAGCAATAAACAAAGCAGTTATAATACAATCCCTGCTTAACATATCATATCATAAGAGGCCAAAAACAGAAATACGAACACACAAATAACTTCATGAAATCTTAAGTCTTTACAAGGGCAGCATGTGTCTGCTTGTTGGCTAATGAATTGCTCGGCTCCCCTCCCCGAGGTCTCCCAGCACTTACAATGTTCTGGTGCCCACAGCTGTCTAAAAAACACTGATGAAAGAAAGAAAGGCAAAAAGTGTAAAAGTGAAAAGCCAGTGCTTCTGAGTCAGAGGCATATGGACCTGAGGGCCTGGACCGGCCACTTAGTAGCTGTGTAACCTTGGGCAAGTTACTTCTTTCTTGAGTGTCAATTTCTCATCTGAGGACAAGGTTTATGGTGCTAGCGTACAATGAAAGAATATGTTTAATGAAAAAATAAATAGGCAATTTAGTGAAGTCCAGCATTTATTAAGCACTATGTGCCAGGCACACATTCGAACATAATACGTGGCACATATACCTTCTCTAATGGTCACAACATCCCTATGACATGGATACTGCTACTATGTCTCCCATTTCATAGGTGAGAAAAATGAGGCTGAGAGGCTAAATAACTTGTTGAAAGGCTACGTAAGAAGCAGCAGAGTTACTCTATCAACCCAAAGAGCCTGGCTCCAGGGCAAATACTTGTAATTACACCTGTTTCTTAAGACTAATAAGTGAACAGATAATGATCGACAACTGAAACGAGTCAAATAGGGAAACCAAGGCTCAGGGAAGTTAAACATGTTCAACGTTGAGCCCAATAATGACAGAGCCCAGATCTGAACCAGGCAGAACGGCCCGGGACAAACGCTTGACCCTGCAAGGCCACGTGGTTTCTTAAGACTTAATGAAGAAAGGGATGAAAGAATAACATTTCTGAAAGGCAGGCTAAGGCAGAAGGCACATAAGGAAAAACTGAGACAAATCGAGGCTCGGAGAGCAGGAGAGTCCCTCGCCCGTCCAAGCCCCAAAGCCTCGGGACCACCCACGCCAGGATCCGGGCCCACCTTACCTGCGCGGCGGCAGCGGAGGAGCGCCCGGGCCTCCTGCACCGTCCGCCGCCTGCCAAGCCGCGCCTCCAGCGCCGGGTGCCGGTAACCCTTGGGGAAGCGGTGCTTCACCACCGCCGCGCGGCCCTGGAAGCGGCCGCGGAACACGCGCGCCTCGGCGCCCTGCTTCACCAGCTCCAGGCCGCTCAAGAAGCGGCTGCTCCGCTCCCGGGCCGCGGCCAGAGCCTCAGCCTCCGGCGCGGGTTCCTCGCCACCGTCGGGCACAGCAGCTCTGGGTGCCGCCATGACTGTGGTCCGTGAAACAGCTCGGACGGATCAGCTGTCCCTGAAAACGATCGCGATGCTTCGGCTCGCTTCGGAAATCCCCGGACTTCTTCTGCTACCCGAACGCGTCTACCCCGGCAACTTCCGGCCTGTGAGTGGTTACGCCTCCCAACTTTGAAGCCTTGGGTTCCCTGCCGGAAGGGCTCTTGTGGCCCCGCCTTCCACCTCTTCCGTTATCTCCGTAGCGTTCGGCAACTCTCGGAAAGCGGCCCTTCCCCACTCCTCGGCTCTCTCCGGAAATCTTCGGTAACTCTCGCCGCCGGCTTTGGGGCCCACCTCCAAACTGGTTGTCTCTTTCCGGAAAACTTCGGCGCCTGTCGAGAAAAACGCCGGAAGCTCTTTGCTCATTTCAGGAGTCTTCCTGGACAGCTGCACCCCCTAGTAGTTTATTTTTGAAACTCCTGTTCCCCTGACTCCTAAATTTTCCCCAAAATGCACTCAAGCTAGTCAGAGTCGCGCGGGTCAAGACGATGAACCATGTTTCCGACCTCGTCTTAAGTGGTAGGTTAGCTACCATTCAGTGCATTCAGAAGAAATAAGGTTAAATAATGAAAACCCTTCTTAAGGAAACGAAAATGGAGACTCAGAGAGGGCAATGGGGGTGGTGGGGGCTGGGGAATCCAGGAAAATTTTCCGGAGACAGAACCTAAACTGAATTGGGAGTAATTAAACTTTTCGGTTTCTACCTGTTTCATTATAAAGCGAATACAGGCCGTAGCAAATTCTTATACAATACAGAGCTTTGCACACACGCACAGACATCAAAACCTGCCTATCCCCCTTGCAATCTGTGACGCCGCTGGCCGTTAGTTTCTTTCCAGACTTTTCTTTTATTCAACAAACACACTCACATATGGTTGTGGCTTTTTTTCCAATACAAATGACATCATACTGTGGGTTCTTCTGCAACTTGCTTTTCATTTTCCTAGACAATTTATCTCGGACTATATTCTATTTCACTACACACAGAGCGACCACGTCCTTCTGCCTGGTCAGGTGGTTTCTTGTTGCTAAACAATTGTTTCCAGTTTGTTGTTTTTCAGGAAAACATTTTACTCTGGCCAGTTTATTGTAAAAGATAGTATAAGAGATAAAAATGAACAGCCAAATGAAGCGATGCATAGGGAAAATTAAATATGGTAGGTATTTATCGTAAATAACGTTGTGAAATACGTATACATTGTGGAATGGCTAAATCCAGCTAGTTAATATTACCTCACATACTGATCGTTTTGGGGCTGAGGACACTTAAAATCTATTATCTTAGCATTTTTTCAAGAATACAACACATTGTTATTATCTACATTCACCATGTTCAATAGATCTCATGAATGTATTCCTCTTGTCTAACTGAAAGTGAGTTGAGTTTTTTACCTTCCTCATGTAAGTGAGATCATGAGATATTTGTCTTTCTGTGCCTGGCTTATTTCCTTTAACACAATATCCTCCACTTCCAGTTCCATCTATGTTGCTGTAAATGACAACGTTTTTCTTTTCTTTTCTTTTTTCTTTGAGACCGCGTTTCACTCTTGTTGCCCCAGCTGGAGTGCAATGGCGCGATCTTGGCTCACCGCAACCTCTGCCTCCCTGGTTCAAAAGATTCTCCTGCCCCAGCCCCCCGAGTAGCTGGGATTACAGGTGCATGCGCCACCATGCCTGGCTAATTTTGTATTTTTAGTAGAGACGGAGTTTCTCCATGTTGGGCATGCTGATCTCGAACTGCCGACTTCAGGTCAACCGCCCTTCTCGGCCTCCCAAAATGCTAGGATTACAGGCATGAGCCACTGTACCCAACTTAGTATCCCCTTTTTACTCTCAAAAGCATCCTAGTTTGGATGACATAATATATGGTTAACCTATGGGTAGTAGAATGGAGATGGGAGGGAGTGATGCAATTTATTTTTAGTTTTTATTTTTATTTTAATTGAGACAGGGTCTTGCTCTGTTGCCCAGGCTGGAGTGCAGTGGTGCAACCTCCTGGGTCTCAAGCAATCCTCCTACCTCAGCCTCCCAAGTACCTGGGACTGCAGGCATGTGAAAAAGATACCAAATTCATTCATTGTCTCTGTGGTTACCAAATTCACCATGCTCAGCCAATTGTTATCATTTTTTGTAGAGACAGGTCTCCCTGTGTAGTGCAGGCTGGTCACAAACTCCTGGCCTCAAGTGATCCTCCTGCCTCACTGATCTTCTGGGATTACACACGTGAGCTACCATGCCCAGGCTAATTTTAAATAAAGTGGTTGAGAAGGTGTCAATGAAAAGGTGACATTTGAGCCTTGTGAATGGATTCCTGGGGGAAGATCTTTCCAGACAGTAGGGGCCCCAGGGAGGAAGTGTGCTTGACACGTTTGAGGAAGAGTGAGTTCTTTAACCTCTCTGTGCTTTAGTTTCCTCATCTGTAAAATAGGATTTTACATAACATCCACCTTGTAGGGTTTTTGTGATGATTACATAAATAATGAGAGGTAAAACACATAGAACTGTGCTGGGCACATGATACATACTTCGAAATGGAAGCTATTATTATGATGGAGTGTTTAGTACGATGACTATTACAATTGGACCCCCAGTATCCAACCACTGCTCCTTATAGGGGAAGGGGCTTCACATTGTGTGGTGTCTCAGGGAACAGGGAAACCACCTCCCACTATAGATGCCTCTCCTTTGCCCTATCCTTGTGTTGCTTGCAACAAGAACCCTGACTTGTACCACTCCTGAGTGGAGGTGTGTTGTGGTTACCGTATTAATTAGCTAGGGAACAAAATAAACTGCTGTAACAAAGTAACCTCCAATAGGGGCTTAAATATCTGGGAGATTTATTTCTTGCTTATGTAACAGTTCAGATTTGTCATTCTCAACTTCTGGCTTCCTCCTGAGTCTATTCCACTTGTTGCCCTCTCCACGCAGCAAAAAGGGTGATGAGGATCAGGAAAAAGAGATCAACCAGCTAAGAACTTGGCCCAATACACATGTCACTTCCACTCTCATCCTATTGGCCAGAACGTAGTCACATGAAAGATGCAAAGGAAGCTGGGAAGTGTATTCTTTGGCAGGGCAGCCACGGACTCGGCTGAAACCATAGGGGATTATCACTAAAAGGAAGTAGGAGAGGAATGATACTGGGAGACAATTAATAGACTGCAATGGTTTGATATTTTAAATTGCAGGTAATATCAATCAACTAATTAGCAGTAAGCTGATTTATTATCTTACAGAATTTCAAGAGATGTGGTCTGGTATGGTGGCTCATGCCTGTAATTCCAAAACTTTGGGAGGCCAAGGCAAGTGGATCACCTGAGGTCAGGAGTTCCAGACCAGCCTGGCCAACAGAGCAAAACCCCATCTCTACTAAAAATACAAAAAGTTAGCCGAGCGTGGCAGTCTACGCCTGTAGTCAGGAGTCTGAGGCAGGAGAATCACTTGAACCCAGAGGCAGAGGTTGCAGTGAGCCAAGATCACACCATTGCACTCCAGCCTGGGCAACAATAGTGAAATTCCATCTCAAAAATAAAATTTTTCAAAAGGTGGAAGGTCCCAGCTGTCATTAGATACCAAGGACACGGGGGCTTTTCATGCTTTTCCACCAGCCTCAGCGTGTTGTTTCGTCATTCTTGTCACCTTATGATCTCAAGATGGCTACCAAAGTTCCACACATTATCTGAAGACACGGAAACATTTGGTTCAAGAAGAGGGGTAGTACCCCCTGTATACTTCTATCTGGGAGAAAATCCTTTGCTGAAGTCTCTCCTCACCCCGTCACGCTTCCTGTAAATGGCATTGGTCACAGTTGGCCCGTGTGTCTTTGGCTTAGCTACAGAGGAAGCTGGAAAAGTGAGGATCTGGCATCTTCAGCCTCTGAAGATGGAGATGTGTTCTACAGTAAACGAGGAAGGGAGCTGGGCATAGCTACTGGAAAGGCAGCCACCAATGGCTGGCACACTGTGATGCACCCACCAACATCATTTCTCTGAATTTCAGTTTCATCATCTTCAGAATCGGGATAATTAGTTCTACTTTGTCAAGCGCTTATAAAAATTAAATAAGATGTTCAACATGAGGGTGCCTGGTGGATAGCAGACACTTCATTTGTTCATTTTTCTTCCTTCCACCCGTCAGTCATTGGGGCCCTGCTTGAAATACCAAAGCAAAGCCCTTTGGTCTGAGGGTTGCTATGGCACCAACGCCTTGGGCTCTTCAGTCCTTAGGTTTCATTCATACACAAGGCAGGTCGCTTTTTCAAACATAAGACCCTTTATGTTGGTATCATGTGGTTTCTGGCACCTTTCATCAGCCCGATGGAAAGCTCAAAGCTCACCCAGGATCAATTCTATTTAAAACTCACAGTTTCCCAAGTTTGTGGCTTCATTATCATAATTGTTAGCGTCCACATTAGTTGTTGCTATGGTGACCAAATTCATCTGAGCCCCTGCCTTAGAAATCTACATGAAAACATATTTACATAGCCTGGGCTTGCAATGGTCAGACTAGATCTGGCTGCTGCGGCAGAAACTCAATTTAAAGCCTTTCAATGGCTCCCCACTGCGCTTAGGTTAAAGATTCGATCCTTGATTTAGCCCAGGAGGCCCTGCATGAGATCCCTGCGTCCTCTTCCAAACTCATCTCCCACAAAACTCCCCCTTCTCCTTGGTCTCTGCTTTTTTTTTTTTTTCTTTCTTTTTCTTTTTGAAGAAACAGGGTCTCACTCTGTCACCCAGGCTGGAGTGCAGTGGCATGATCTCGGCTCACTGCAGCCTCAAACCTCCTGCTCTCAAGTGATTTTCTGGCCTCAGCTTCCTGAGTAGCTGAGACTACAGGCATGAGCCACCACACCTGGCTAACTTTTGTATTTTTTATAGAGATGGAGTCTCACTGTGTTGCCCAGGATGGTCTCCAACTCCTAGACAACTGTACTGTCAAGAAACACCAGAACAGTGAGGTAAGCACAGGAAGGCAGCCAGTGAAAGGTGAGCCCATTTCCACTCTGGGCAACTAGAGCTGAATCCCGCTGGGGAACAGAAACCAGTGTAGATGACTCAGGCCTCAGACCCAAGGGGCAAGGGAGCCGGGTACTTAGACACCAGTCGTTGATTGAGGGTTGTTCCCAAGAGGTTACTTTCTCTGTGCTCCTGGCCTGCCACTGAGCAGCAGAGCAGGGGCAGAGAGAGGCCTAGACGCAGATGC